CAGCCGCTGCGAGGATATTGATTGGCTTAGAAATTATTAAACCCCTAGCAGTCAAAAGAGGCTGTTACTGTGCTGCAAGACTCAGTTTTAAAGCTCTGTCCATTAATAACCAATGTAAAGAACAAATATCAGTGTGTAACAATTCTTACAAATGATATGGGGGAAAACTATATTCATTGTGATTATTTAACCACTAAAGTACCTGTTTTCATAATTAACACAAAAACCATTGAGGAAGAAAATGGTGTTTAAATAAAATCCATTCCATGTAACCCACTTAATGACAAACTGACCAACACAATAGACTTTCAGGTTATAATCAATTTAACAGCCATTGTTGAGATCAGTTCATAACCACCATGCAGCCAAAAATCTTAATAAATCTTATCCACTACAATCACTTTCTTAACATGGATCTGTTTTTTGGTTGTTCTGTTTTTTTTGGCTGGTCTGCAGCAAAACAGGACCACCCCTATAAACATGAAAATCTGCCCATGAAAGAGTGACGACGTTACACCATCGTTCAGTCGAGATCTCCACTGGCCGTTGCTCTTTCAAAATGAATAGTCCTGAATTATCACCACACATGGCTGCAATGCACACTCAGAGGAAGAATTGTATTATAAATAGTTTTGTACTTTATCGCAAGTTGCAATAAAGTATATCCAATAATGAGTGGATATACTTGACAGAAGAGCCATGATGGCGCCACTTTTGGACCACACTTTGGGAACACTGTGTCGAACATAAACAAAGCTTAACAGTAAGGCGCAGGCAGTCCTCAATTATGTCCTCAGCAGCTAGCATGTCGACCATAGTCTAGAACCAGTCTTGTTTGGAGTTGCTGATGAAAATCTATCTGACAGGCAGAAATTGTTTACAGACGAGTTAATGTAGAAAGTTTTATGCACATTAGGTTCAGTCATGTTTGCCGACTTATCTCATCACTCTCTGACGTATCTGATGAATCACGTGTTTACCCAGAAGGCAAGCAAGGCAACGCACCATTAGGCTTCCTGAATAAATTGACAGATTTCTCTGGGTGTGAACATTGTTGTTAACATTTGGGATACAGTTAATATACAACAAGAAATATATAACAAAGGTCTAGCGTTTTTAGACATTTAAATGTGGAAATGTTGAATATTATATCTTTAACCAATCTGTAGCGAGCAATATACTCATCCTGCCATGTCATTTTTAGTCAACACGGAACCTATGGTTGCAGTTGATAGGGAGTAATTAACATTTTTCATATTAATCAAAGAAATATGTAAATTTCAGAGTTGGTATTTCTGTAACATTCACTTAAAACAACTTACAACAACTTGTACAGCTCGCCATTTTTTTGGTCAATTTTTTATGAGCTAACTAGCTAGTAAGCAATTAGATAAGATGCCCCTTCACATTCTTAAATCCACCTGCAACTGTGTCTAATTATTTTTTTTATAATTCTCACTCAAATTAGTAATTTCTACCTTGTAACTGATCACATTTGTGCACCAAATGATAGTGTTAAACAACTATAACGGGAAGTTGTCAGAGCTGTTGTGGCTACTCTGTTGTGTTGGGTCCAGGAACCACCCACACCAAGTGTTAGAGGTAGAGGCAATGTTCCAGTAAAGAGGTGCCCACAAATGACTGAATTCCCACAAATTCATTGTCATTACATCCATCCTTTTGTCCCTGTCCCCTGTATACTGTATGCTACTCATATACAGTATAGGTTTGGTGCTATGTTTGATGTTTCAGCTCTTGGTTGGTCAGCCAGTTACCACTGATAACCTGCTGCTCTCAGATAATAGTGCCTTGGTGTTTGACTTGGCTGCAGAGCCTTTTACAGAAATATATATTTGACCCATTCGCTTTCCTACCTAATGAATCAATTAAAGCATCAATCAATATGTGAGTCTGTTTTAACTCGGAACTCACACACGGTTATGTGGTGAGCAAAGCGATCCTCTGATTTTCTGAGTTAGGTGTTTGCTGCATACTTCATAGTACTGTCTGATTGCAAACTGATTACAGGCTTCAGATTGCTCTTTTTTTGTTTATTGGTATTCTGAAGATTAAAGGCTATCACTGAGTGCATCTGTTCCTCTCATTCCAATTCCTGAGCCGTGAAATAAAATGTATTAAAAGTATGATGTTTGCATACAAATTGTGACTGTTGGATGACAAATGTTGCAAAGTTATTAGAGATCATCAGTTCACTTCGAGAAAGTTTCACTACATACGAACACACATACCTTCTGTTACAATGGTATAATATGCATGAGCTCAACAAGGAAAATATAGTTGAGCACACTTGTCAAAGGTGCCTCTACTGTCCTCATTATGTATGTGGCTGCACTGCTATGCCAGTTAAATGCTCTTCCAATAAGGGTTTAAGATAGGAGTTGACAGGAGTGTTAACAATGTCAGACTGTGAAAACTGTATTGGATAAACCACAGTAAGTATAATAACTGGTACTTAAAATCAGGAGACATAATACAAATTAAAAGTTAATTCAGCTAACAAGTAGCCTGGCTAGATACTTAAGTTATTTCTCATCTGTAATAGTACTTGATCCAAGGAAGAAACACTGACGGAAAAACAACACCCAAAGCACAAGTATAACACAACATATGAGTAAGTAAACAAGAGAAATGAAACATAGTTACACACTGTCATGCTACAACACTCACTTGTCACTAAAAGTAGCCACGCTCTTAATTATGCATAACTTTAAGCATTAGTAGAATTTTAATGGGTAAGTTACATTATGTTTATTTCTGCTGTAAAGTTGGCCATTTTCATTTTTGGAGCCAGCCTCAAGTGGCTGTTTGAGGAACTGCAGCTTTTGGCACTTCTGTGTTGGCTTGATTTTTCAGCTGCTTGGTTACCTCAGACTGAGAGTAGATGTTAATCTCATATGCTTCATTTACGTCATGATATATTTGTTGAATTTGTTTCCATTGCAGTTTGTCAGATTTTCTTTTTATGGATACACCAACAAATGCACCTCCCCTGAAAACCTTTTTGCGATAACTAAATTGTTTTTTTTTTTTCACATTGTCTGCATTTCCACTCAGGATTTTTTATGCGCAAATTGAAAATGTGCATAAAAAGCCAGTGGATGTAAACCCACCACATGTGGGTACAGCATTGTTAGAAGGCAGTTAGAGCTGGGTGATAAGTTAAAGGAAAATACAACCCCACGGTCTCTGCACCCTCTCCATTCTCCCATAGGCATTCAATTGATTCACATCATTTTTATTCTCATCAAACCATTCAATGGCCCCTCGTGTCCTGTATGAAAGCATCTGCATTTGTCATGTTTCTCCACTCATTCATTTGGGTTTTTCCTTTAATTTGTCACCCGTCTCTATGTCCTTTAATGAATTCCTGTGGCAGCACAAGGCTGGTTGTGTGTCCTTGTTGTCTCAAAGGATGCAATATAACCTGCTCATCTCGTTGTACAGTGTGACCTATATTCTCATGCTCCTGCCACTGCCAAATTCGCTCATGCCAGGAAACACAGTGGTAGAGGTGCAATGAATCAAACAAGGACACATTGAGTGACAGACATGAAGCTCCTACACAGGTCATTGAGTTGAATAAATGAGGTAAGTGAGTGATCGAGGTCCAGTGGGTTTTCTGTGCACAGCAAGGGGCCTCCCGATAGACACTATATGTATGGGTAAGCTATGAATGAATGAATATGTGAGTGAGCTGCTTTCTTCACGAGTTACTCTATATTTTGAGAAATAGCACTGAACAGACATTGTAAACAATATATTAATCAAAATGTCCAAAAAAAAAATAGAAATTGAAAATTAAATACCATGGAAATACCATCTATCTCCTAGCATATACAATATATCTCAATAAAAACACATCTGTCTTTACAGCCAAATTTAAATGCGGATTTGAGTTTTGGTTTCAAACAAGAGATGAACAGCAGCTTGTAATTTAGTCCACATTTTCCCACTGAAGGTGTAAATACTGAAATCGCAATTTGGGACATTTATTTCTCTATTCATTGTCTTGTTTTGACATTTCGTTGACCCGTGTCTCATTAAGAATTCTCTGTCGTTCACCATTCATTTGCCCTCCATGCAGGCTGAGCTGTAAATTGCTGCAGGGGCGTTGATGTGCAAGAAGAGCCGGCCGTCTTAATGGGGGACATGAGTGGGTGGTCTGCTCTCTGAGGGCCTTCTGCAGCCCCTTACCTTGCTGTAATGACTCATTCAGTTCAGCTTAGTCACCCCCGCTCTTTGCTGGTTTTTGCATGGTGCTGAAACCTGTTGCAAAATTGCCAAAATGGGCTTTTAGTCTCTTTTCGAAGCCTTTTATCATGAGCTGAAAAGTCGTTAATAACTATCAGGCAGGAAGATTACTACTGCCCCGGAGATGTTCTTGTAGCTGTTTGGTAAAATTACACCAGATTTTTGAAGAAGATGGATTTGATTTTCATGATGGTCATTGGCCTTTAATCTGAGAGCTGGTGTGGTCTGAAAACAGAGGTCCTCTTCAGTAAAGGGGCCAGGGGAGTGAAATTTTCATCTTCCATTGCCCATGCCCTGAATAATTTCTTCCTATTTCCAATCAGTCCCTTCACTTGCTAGTCCTTTCCAGTTGCAGTTTGCAACTTAGGAAGGTCTAAATATGATTGAAAACACATCTCAAATCACCACAGTTGGGTATTTGTTAGGAAACTTCACTCAAACAGGACTTAAGAGTGAATTTATATGTGACTATTTTCAGCTGCCGAATAATAATGCGTTAGTGAGTAGCAGCAGCTGGATGGTGTATGTGTGATCAGCTTAAAATAAACCACCACCCACGTTCATTGTAATGAAGGAACATGTGACCCAGTGCAACAGTATGCTTATTTATGTGTTTTTAAAAAAATAGTATTTGGACAATTATAGAGCTCTTTGGCACAGACGAATATGTTACATCAGACTTTGGATGCACATAAAACAAGTTAGTAGCAGTGGTCTTTTCAATTCAATTCAATTCAATTCAATTTTATTTGTATAGCGCCAATTCATAACAGAAGTTATCTCAGGACACTTTTCAAATAGAGCAGGTCTAGACCGAACTCTTTAACATTAATTACAGAGACCCAACAGTACCACCATGAGCAAGCACTTGGCGACAAGGGCAAGGAAAAACTGCCTGTTAAAAGGCAGAAACCTAGGACAGATCCTCCGGCTCTAGGTGGGTGGTCGTCTGTCTCGACCAGTTGGGGTGAGAGAGAGAGAGAGAGAGAGAGGCAGAGAGAGAGAGAGCGAGAGACAGTTAAAACAATGAGTTGGTTAATTTACACTCTGACAGAAGCCAATTGAGTCTATTAATGATATAAATGCATTACTAAGGCTGTCATTGTCAACATCCACATGAATATTAAAATCACCTACAATAATTACTTTATCTGATTTAAGGACTAAACTTGATAGAAACTCAGATATAAAATCAGAGTACGGTCCAGGAGCACGGTACACTATAACAAATAGAACTGGCTGCAGTGTTTTCCAGTTTGGGTGAGAAAGACTAAGAACAAGGCTTTCAAATGAATTATAATTTAGTTTAGGTTTAGGGTCCATTAAAACGCTCGAATCAAATATGGCTGCCACTCCACCTCCTCGGCCAGTGCCTCGAGGAATGTGAGTATTAATATGACTGGGGGGGGGGTGGATTCATTTAGGCTAACATTTCATGAAGTATCACCAGCTTAGAACTATACTTGTTTAATGTAGTACAGTGGTCATACTGGAAACCTTTGTGGTTAGAAATAAAATCAAAGTTGACTGTTGGTAGAAGATGGGGCATATAAACTGTGGTGACATGCTTTGAAACCCATTCATCCACCCAAAACTCCTGGAGACTTTTTTTTTTTTGCATCAGCTTGAAGTGCATCATGCTCTTTCTGCCTTTGTACGCCCGAAGTACCGTGATTATTTGCAGCACCAGGAGAGGTTGCTTGTCAGGAAATGTAAACATACAGGTCAGTTCACCAGTAAAAACACATATCAGCTTTGGGGGTTATTTCAACTGACATTTCAACTGCCTTCATGGCTTAGACATCAACTGACATTTCAGCTAACAGTTAACTGTCAGCTCAACTACTTTTAGCACTTAAATGTAAACTGAAAAGGAACATTTCAAATGCTTCAGCTGATTTCAACTGCTAGAGGTGCTTCAAACCCTGTCAGTCTTTTAACGTATACTGACACCTCAACTGCTTTAAGTACGCTTCAACTGATTTCAGCTTTTACACTTTAACAGACACTTCAAACCCTTTCAGTGCTACATTGTCAGCTGACACTTCCAGCTGCTTTAGGTGCTTAAACTGCAACTCCCATACAGTAACTCTAATGTTAACGTTTAAAGCCCCCCTCCACTCAACATTTTTTTCAAGAGTTTTTTTTGTTGCTGGAATTATACTTTTCTTCTTGTTCCTATGTTTGAGCTTCACTGTGCAGAATGATGTCTGTGCAGAGTTTGACACTAGAAAAATGTTTTCACATTCATCTGTTGAAAGTGGAAAGTTTCCTGGCCAGGGCCTATGAGCATGATTTGCGACATCACAAACCGTTTGGAAGTCCACCCTGGTCTAATTTGCAACTTGTACTGTGTGATGTAGAAACTTGAAGCCACCAGTGCACATCTACTGTGAATGGACTAAACAGTGAAGTAGGAGACATCTTGTGTCCAGCAGGAAAACTTTAGAAATAAAGAACATTTGCATATTCAGAGATTCTGGAGGTTTTAATGAGGTAGAAGATGAATGTGTAAATTATACTTCTTTTTTTTCAGGAAAAAAACAAAACATATCACACACATTATCATTCCAAGGAAACTATTTGTATGACTTAATACACATTTGGAGGGGATCTTCATTTTAAGTCATTTGAACCTGTTTGCACCTGCTATTAAGCACACTTAAATTTTCTTCCAAAGATGTAGCTTAAAGTCTGCTGTTTGTCATGTGCGTTTCACTGTCACACAGTCCGTCAACTCTGCCGAGTACTTATTGTGTTTCTATGTGACATTCTGGCCTACAGCAGCCAAGACAGAAAGATGTATACTTATTACTGTTGGCAAATAAGGTGTCCCTCATTTTGAATTAAATTAACTGTCAGTCAGATACCCCCTATTTTACTTCACACATAACATGACACTGTTGTTCTAGTAAACACTGTTTACTTAAACAAGCGTACTGATGAAAATAGCAGTGGCTCTTTTAGTGTAACATGCAATTATACAGAGATTTTGTTGGATATGCTGATTGTTTACTGCACTGCATGTTTGAGGGCTACAACAAACGCAGGGTTTAGCAAGGCTTAGCAGTGCACCGGTTAAAGAGTCATCTTTGGTTGAGGAATAAAACATTGTTGAGTTCAGACGCTGCTGTTGAGGTAAACTGATTAGAGTTGATTTGCACTATAGAGTGTGTCCATTCATTTCATTGATTATGAAGCCATAAAGTCTTTTTTTTATATATTAGTGTGTTATATTAATACTTTATTAAAATAAAATGTACCCGTAAGGTGAAGTCATTTTTCTTTGCCTAAAGAAAATCCATTTGGAAAATACACATTCTTCTCTCCATAAAGAAGAGATATAGATTTTAATATTTAACAACTGATTAAATTACTTACATGAGACTTTTATGGAGACAGTGTGCATTCATCTCCCTCACTTGCATTATATCTTGAATGCCAAAACTCAGTTTAATAAAACACCGCCAACAATTTCAGCTTAGAAAGTTTTTTAAGGAATTAATCCTCAAGCTATTTGATAAAGTTATGCAGTGTAGTAATTATAGGTTTGTTTTCTCTCAAGAAAAGCTCAGAGGTATTTCTAGTAACTCAGTAAAATCTACAAAATATGTTCTTCTGCTGGACTTGGGAAAAACAAGAAATAACAATTAAGAAACACATTTATTTGTATAGCAGTTTAAAATACTATATAGCCACTCCTGCAGAGTAAAAACATTTTCAGGCTACTCATTTGGAGCATCCTTCAGTTTTACTACAATGTTCTCTACTACCAATGATACAGAGGCCTGACTTCCATTCCAAGAGACATCTTGCTGTCCTCCTCCAAAGCTCTCTGACCGCACATCATTGGCGTAAACAGATAGGAAATGAAGGCCAGGATCTTGCCTGTAGTTTCATTTATATGTTAATCTGTCTGTGGACCTTGGTAAGGATTTGAGTGATTCCAGCATAAGGTTTGGTAATGCATTCAGCTGGACATATTCTGACAGCAGCGGAAAGCCTATACATCCTTGTAGTCTAGAAGCAATCTATCATTTGCGAGGTTTGGCAGCACGTCGGCTCCCCGGACTCCATAACTGTACCATTTATTTAGAAGACTACCTGTAAAATATCTGTTGAATATAGAGCAGCCACACAGCTGAGGTTAACTTTTGTCATAAATCCAGAAGACGGAGTAGGAATTTGCCTGTGTATGATTGACTGTACTCTCTTTCCATCCAGTTACTTGCAAACTGTAAATGGCAAATGTGGGGAAGAGAGGAGGAAACAAGATTTTTCACAGGCCGCTAATGCAAACGCATGCCTGTTGAAAGCCACGGAAAGAGTGACATGATGGATGGAAGCTACTGTCTGACAGAAAAGGAGAAAAGGCATTGGATTGTGCAGTCTGTTGCATTGAAAATGTAGCATATTTTCAAAAGGTTTCATGGTTAAACACAAACACAGTCCATCATCTACAGTATGATAATCTAGCACTTAATACAAAATTGTCTACTTACTCTACAGAGTTACATTTTGCATTAACTTTTTATTGCTCTTTTATTGTTTGTATTGCTTTATCTGTATTTTTCATGCTGCAGCAAAGATTTCTAATTTTTACATTTTGATAGTCTTCTACATTTATCAATGTATGTACACTTGACTATTAAGCTGCTGGTGCAGCTGGATTGTGCAGCTTGTGTGTACGAACGTTATCATTCATCAGATACTCACATCGGCATCATTATTGTTACAGTTACTGTTCTTGGTGTTGATGACCGTTTAGTCTGCAGCCATGCTAATGCCTTTGTGACACTGTATGTATGTCAACATGCTCACAATGATAATGCAAACACGCTGATGTTTTGCAGGTATAATGTTTACCATATGCACCATCTTAGTTTAGCATGTTAGCACGCTAACATTTGCTCATTAGCATTAAACACAAAGTACATTTGAGGCTAATGGGAATATCAATCGTTTTTCTGGAATTTGGTCACAAACTAAATTTTGACCTGATGATCCTGAGGGGGGACATTGATAAATTATCCTTCAAATATTTAGGGGAGTACTATTTATAAAATCTTGACTGCATATGAAAGCATCCAACAGGGGAGGAACTATTAGATCTCCTCCTGGTGCTCTGATCAGTCCATCCTCCTCCCTCAACACTTTTTCTTGGTCATTCATCGACAGACCCTCCCCTGGCTGGCTGCCGTAGTTCCTAATGAGGTCAGACTCCTGCCTGCTCGGCTGCCCTGATCAGCAGTGTGTGTGTGTGTGTGTGTGTGTGTGTGTGTGTGGGAGAGACGGGGATAAAGCAAGCAAGACAAAGAGAGACTCACAAAAAGACAGAGTGAGTGTGTGTGACTTCGAGGGAGAGAAAGAATGGGATAGAAAATGTGTGAGAGGGTAAGTGTGTGTAGTGTGTGTTCTCTCTGTGCCATACGTATTGACCTGGAATAGGGTTAGTGCTAATGAGGAGAGGGAGAGAGGGTGAGATGTGAGGGAAGTGCAGGGTTGCCAGGTCAGGCGTAATTCACATTGAGGGGAGTCCAGATTTGAAAAGACATGCGCTGGTTGTGCTGAATAGCAGCTACTTTCAGGGTTTGGTGTCACACACAAAAGCTTGGCCAGAGATTTGAATGGTGGTAAGTGAATGTCTCCAGCAAGAACAGACAGCCCAGCCAGAAACCATTACTTACACTGTAGCAACTGTGTAGCAACTTGGAGTTTCAGTTATGCAAATGTGTCCCAGTCCTCACCAGAAAATCGGCTGTATTGATCGCCCGTGAAAGCAGCTTATTACGACCCATGTTTACGTTGATTGTTAGGCGGCGACCTCAAGTGGCCATAGTAATTATGATGAGCCGTGTGAAGAGCAAAGAACTCAGCGTATGGAAGAAACCATGGTGGATGGATGGGTTGGACCCATGACTTTTCACCCAGGAGTTCGGGAGATGTGTCCTGTGTGGAACCAAAAGTCAACACTGAGTTACTTTCAAATTTACGTAACATTACATATGCAACTGACATCACTTGACTTACGTAACATAACATACTTATGTTAAACACAGAACTTTCATAACGCAACAAACTTATTTTAACCCATGATCTTTTCCTAAACCTAACCAAGTATTTGAAGTTACATAATGTTACATGTAAGACTTACATCATGTGACTTACATGACAACACGTGCAATGACAACACGTGCAACATACTTAAGGTCTGGTACGTCTGTTGTCAGTGATCTCCAATATGTCGTTTTGGAAATCACGGGCAACTGACATACCGTTGTTATTCTTAGATCCTTACTAAATGTGGTCCAAAGAAGACTTCAGCCATGTAAGGGTTTCACCAAAGTTGCTACCTCCTGAGGTGACATGGATACACCAGATTTCATGGCAATCACTAGAGGCAATAGAGGTAAAGTCAGGGGTTCAAAGTCAGGTGGATTAATCCTCTGGGGATCCTAAATATCTACAATATTTCATAATCCTCTTTTTGTCTGGTGGTCATGGATGAGTGGGTCAAACACAAGACCACACAGGAGACTGAGGTTTGTGTCCTGTATGAAATCAAAAGTCCTTGTTGACTATTTGTAGACTTAGTTGACTTAATTTTCAGTTTTCAGCTACAATTTGGTTAGGTTTAGGCAGCAAAAGTAATTGGTTAGGTTTAGGAAAAGATTATGGTTGGCTTCACAGGGGATATGGACAGCGGTCTCCTGGGTGAATGTCCTTGCAGAAAGCCTTGAAGGCGAATTTCTTCCACGTGCAAAATGCTGCTAGCGTGGCTAATCTTAGTGGTTGAGTTCAATTTCAACCTTTGGAGCCAAAGAACAACAGTCATTCTGGCAACCCAGTGCTGGTGATGTTCCCTCACAATGTGAGTTCCTTTTATCTCATTGCATCATTGTAGTGTTATATAAGCAAAAATGATATATTTGTCCCAAAGCTACCACCTAGAATCTGATCCCTCAATTTCCAACTATGTAGTGCTGTATACATTGGGAAAACTGATATCCAGTGAGGTCTTGAGACTGCTGATTAACATCTGCTGCAAAAGTCAAATCAGGTCAAATCTGTTAAGCACTCTTGACAAAACAAATTTAAATACTGGCAGAAGCAAGACAGAGCAAACGGATCGCAAAATTGAAGCCAAGAGGGCAGAGTCTGTGCCAGTTTTTTTCACGTGTTCATGTGCAAAACATACTTGAACAGCATCCATTTGTGATATCATGTGGCATCCTAGTTTTAGCCTGCCTTGTTTTTTTAATATTTCTGCCGTGCTCTTAAACTCGGAGAACGTCTTTGTTTCGTCTTCACTGTTCTCCATCTGTCCCCGGGCCCCGTTACACCCAGACTTTGATTCGGTCGACAAATGGTGTGTGTGCAAGAGAAACAGCAGCAGAGCAGGGTTTTGTCCTGAGATGAACTCTGCAGCAGCCGTGGTGAGGGCTGCTCACTGCTGACGGAGGGAAGAAACAGAGGGAGCGAGAGCAGAAGGCAGGGGAGGGCGAAAAACAGACGAAGAGAAAAGAGCGACGGAGAAGGCGGACATGACAAATAAGAGTAAGACAGAGAGAAAAATGAAAAGACGAAAGGGAAAAATGTCACAATAACGGAACAAACAGCACATGAGTGAGTGACGTGAAGAGAGAATGAGCCACAAAGAAGCAGAGTAACAGGAAAACAAGTAAAAAAATTGAATAAAGAGGTCAAAGGGAGGACAAAAAAGCAAAAAAAAAAAACATGCTTAATGGATGGGGGTATGGAAAAGGAAATGACAAAGGAAAGAGATAAATCAAAATACAGAAATAGAGGGTGAGAGAATAAAAACAAGACAGAGAGTGAAAACCAAAGACAGTGAGGAAGAAGAGTGACAGGAAGAAACACAAAGACTGAAAGCAAGTAAAAAAAGACGCGAAAGAAGAAAAATAAAGGAAACGGAGCCAAGACGAGAGACAGAGCCAGGTAGCGAGAGAGAGAGAGAGAGAGAGAGAGAGAGAGAGAGAGAGAGAGAGCAAACCTTTGCCAACACTGTGAAATTTCCTCAACTCCCGGCGATAATAGCTCTGCATAATAAGCCGATTTAGCAGCTCAGTACCAATAAAACACCCAGGTGGTGCTCACTTTTCTCAGCTTGATTCGCAAATGCTGTGCTTCAAGGGAATCTGGTTCTCATTGTTCTGTTTGTGCTGTCCTCATAATGCTCAGCTACAGTAAAACCAGGAAGGACGGTGTGCGTGGGGGGGGGTCAATGATCATTCCAGCTTAGATGAAAATTAACCTGGTAGTGCTGTGTTTATTGATCTGTCTAAGCGTTTGATGCCGTAGGACACAACATGTTGTTCAGATGCTTTACAAAAACTGGCTTTGATAACTTACCTGTAGGTGGTTCAGAAATTAGTTGTAGATTAAGCTGTGCACATCAACTGCGGAGATATATATAATATTAAAATATTGTGTGATGTGATGCAAACATGTCACAAAGGAATATAAGTTTGATAGTGATATGATATATGATGATATGGCAATTTATTTACTCTAACTTTAGCAATCATGGCCGTATTTATGTAGCCATGGCAAAAAAACTTTGAATGGAATTGGCAACTTTAGACTGGCCTTATATGTCTTTGTTAATAACTTTAAAATAACTTTAAATAAAGTTCTATGCAGATGACACTACATTTCTAGTATCTGTCTATGAAGTATCTATTAACTACCAGCCTACAGACATCTTGGAATTAAGATAAGTCTTCTGTGTCAAATGAAATGACAAAAAAAGAGAAAGAAATAGAAATCATTTCACTAAAAAGGTACAAAATAGTTGCTCAAGTTACACTTCTCATTTTTCTTAAGCCAACAAATTCTTATCCTGTGTCCCTGCATTAATTTCTTGTTATATGTGTTTTAAAAATAGTATTGGTATTGGTATATAAAAATCTCTCTTTCCTTCTCCTGAAAAATGTTAGCTAGTGTAGTAATATGATGGAACAGAGGTGTGTCATTTCTACCCTGGCCCTCACTACCTGATCTAAAGACGGAGGTGTGGGTTGAGGCCAGCAGTCATCTTCACCTCTGTATTGCTGTGATTCTTAAGAGACCTGTGCTTTCCGAGGTTCGCCCACTCTTGAGTGATTCAATCAACCAATTTGATCAAATCCCTTTAGGAATGTTACCTCACCCACATATTCTGTTGCACTCTGGAATACTGTATGTCCCATTAGTGAGCTAAAGCTGCTGAGCCTTTTCAATTAAGGCGTTATGTTCAGATTTTTTAGATTGCTGGTGAATAAGACAAAAATATGAAATTGACATTTTTACCCATTGCTCCAAGAAAAACAGCTTACCTTTTATTTACAGTAAAGGAAGAAAAACCAGATTTCATGGTGACTCATCCGTGCTCTGCAGTTTTTTGGAAGTTCCGAGGGTGAAGACAAACCTTGGAAAATGAGCTCTTACTAAGTTTGTACTTCAGCAGGGAATAACAATCAGAATACTATTGCACCTGGCACGCTTGGTTACTCACAATTTTCGTCTGTCATTGGAATATTGCCACAAGCTCAATGTGACCGTTCACTTGTGAACTCTTCATCTTCATCTTTTAAATTTGTTATATACATTATTCAGTTCGCAATGCTGCTTTTTATCTTGGAAGTGCATCTCTTTTTACCGGTTATTATTTTGTACAGTCTAGTACAGAACAGGACACAGCTTGCTCCCTGTGAGTTTCCCCTGTATATATTTAAAACTTTCAATTCTCAGCTGCTTCTTACAGATTCCACTCCCACTCCCACATCATCACTGTTGGGTGCAAAGCTTGTAACTCCAATGGGGGTGAATTAGAGGATTATATGCTCCATGGGTTAGGAAAATTTTCTCACCTCTTGGGCTTATAAAACCTTTAGAAAAACACTGACTGGCTTCAAAACTCGACTGAGTTCAAGCTGTAAACAAAGCTGTCTTTCTAAGTTGTTCAAAAGCTGACATTTTGGAGCTACAAGGGTTGCTTCTGAACGTGACAGAAAGACAGCACAGAGCTATGATACACCGAGCTCTCTGGTTTACAGGGCAGCTGCTTTTGTCCCGCACCAGAATATGTCAGCCTTTGGAGCTCGAGTCCATTTATTGTCCTTGGCTCCAGCCGTAATGATTAATGATGCATAGTATGACGGTGCACTATATCCAACTCCCCCAGTGCTCAAAAGACCGGTGTCTCAGTGTTTTGATGAGACGCAGACATTTTGACTTTAGATTTTACTGTTAGGTGTTTTACTTATCCTGTTCAGTGAAAGTGGAACACCTGCATGCATGTTGGGCCACTGTGTTGAGCTTCAAAGAAGGAAACAGGTTTTCCAGAGAGAGCTGATGAAAGCTTTTCATCCAGGCTCCTTGATGAGAGACTGTAGGGATTATGTAAACAGGCAACAAAGAGGAATACAGTATGTTTAATCTCCCATCCTCCAGCTTTGTTGGCCATGAGTTACTTCATTGTTGCTAAGCGGAGACTGCTTTCATAGCTGCCTGTTTTTAAGAGCAGGCGTTTTTCCAAATTTTGTATTCAACTTCTGCACTGCAACAGATAGAAGGGGATGGTTTGAAAGAAGAAAAATCTTTCTTTTGTAAAAATTTGAATTCATAAAAGTACACTCGCTCCTTTTGATAAATCGGTTTATGAAAGCAGATGAGCACAAGCAGGTCTCTTAAGCCGTTTTTTAAATGCATGGTTCCTGAAGGGCTCATGAATACCCCTGTCCCCACCTGTTGTACTCCACTGACACAATTCCAGACTAGAACAGCCTTGTTTAACTCAAACGCTCTGTGTTTGAACTGTTGCCAGTAAAGAGTATAAAATTCAGTAGGCTGGCTGTCACAACAGCATCTGAAACCAACTTTGTGATTACTGCTTGTTGGCATTGTGGGAGTCTAAAAGTTTATAGGAGCTATAACTGAGATTTATACTGCCCCGAAACACAAAGTGATCATAATGTATCTGCAGCGGGATGATGGGGTTTTTGATCAATACCAATGACTAAATGACTACTTCAGGAGGGTCAGGGATTTCTGGCTTTCAAACTTGCTTCTGAGGTTGTTGGAACTAAAGCAAAAGTTACAAATGCAATTGTGGTTCTCTGAATTATGGCTGATGTCGAGATCATCATTGATTGTTGCCTCTCATGGATGAGAATGGAGGCATGAAGGGATAAAGGCCGTTAGTCAATACGAGATGTGTTTTGGATTTTTAGTACTCATACTGTATGTCACCTGTAGGCCTAGGAAATGGGGGGCAAAATCCACAGTCCTCATTTAATGTAGGAGAAAAACAGAATGTGTGTTTGTTGACATTAGAACAGCTGTAGCGAGAACGGGAGCCAGGAGGAGTAGCGGTAGCCCGCTACACAGTGGAAACTGGCACCGCGTTCAGCGGTAGTTTAGTAATCCACGGTAGTACTGTTGTGTAGGAACCGTGACGTTTTGTCACCGCGAGTACCATGCAACACTAAATGTTTCAATCACAGCCCTACGTTGTATACGCCTCCCTGTAATTCACTCACTCATTAGGCTACTCTGCTCAGGCCGTGACTAGCAGAGACAACCATGTTGCTGCTGATCAGTGTGCTTGCAGCAGCAGGGCATTATAATTCATTACTTGTGTTGTTGTTGTTGTTGTTGTTGTGAATGTACGGCAGGCTGTAGCCAACGATATATAGCACAATTCATTACTTGTGGGAAACGTTTCAAGAGCAACAGGCTTACCTCCAAGCAGCACAGCACAAGGGAGAAGTGGGTGTAATGCGGAAGACGTAGCCAGGTTAAACCAACCAATAGAAACTCTTCTCTCATCCACCAGCGTAGGCCCCAGCCATCAAGTGCAGTTGAATTCGCAAGCAAAACTTTAGAACTTGCAAGCAAAGAGGACTGATTTATAAGCAGAATGGTCGTATGTTTTTACTTACAAACATTAGTTTTGATTGAAGTTGAAGAAATATGTTCAATCATTGCAACCTGCAAAAAATTTTTTTGGATTGGCACTTACTCTTTTTTGCTCTCAAATCTCTTTTTTGGTTTCAAATCTATTCTATTTGATTGAATAATAAAGGAACAAAATTCTCTCCATATAAATGTGGCTATGAATGCATTTAAAGCCTCTCTCAACGTTAGCTGACCTCCAACTGGAACATGAATTTCCATTCAAAAATACTGAAATTGCAGTCGTTTCCCCTTCTGGATTGTCGAGTAATTGCTGTGAGTTCAGGGGGGGAAAGAAAGTCACCTCACAGTTTGAACAACACTCCTACACTGGCAACTCCAGTCAATCTAATTTGAAACCCTGTATGATGAAGGGCTCTGCATGGCTGCCCTTGTGTCATTATAAAAATGGATGGACAGATTTAAATACCCCTTTGTAAAATTTCTCCATGAGTCTGACACTTGGCTGCCTCCTCACCAAATCACTGCTGGCATTGATCTGCAGAAGTTGACTATTTATGCTTGTACGGATGCCAGTTTCCCAGAACAGCAATTAACATTTGGAGAATAAAAATGGCCTGACAAGATGTAGCCTACTCTTAAAAAGTCATGCACTTACTGTATGCTGTGGGAGATGAGTCAATTTTGCAATGCAAATGTATATATTCTAGCATTTTATCCACAGTTGATTGTTATGCCATACAAAAAGATGTATTCATCAAAGTTAATTGATTACTACACTATGAAATTGAGTGTGTGGGGGTGTTTCCTCTGTGTGGTTACAGTGTATAATCAGGAATATGATCGAAAAAGAAAACAAATCTCTCCAGGAAAACAAGCTTTGTAGAGGACATGCTCTTTCTCAGCAATGTTGTGTTTTGTGCTCATTCATTCATACCATCACATGACTGAGGATACATTTGAAAAGGTACCTTTATTGTCAGTTTAGGCCCACTGCACTTCCATTTTCCACCAACTGAAAACTAAATTTCTTCTCTCTGACAGACTGTAGTTATAGTACGCACAAGCTTGTCAAAAAGGCTAATGTATCACCGTCTTGTGACAACATCTGTACTCCGTGATGATGAGCTATACTGAAACACAACATATGTGATCACACAGAGAGTTGGAAGCATGAAGCCAGGCACACAGTCCTGCCCAAGATATCTTTTCAGTGTTTGCATTCTTGTGAAGCTGCTTCTTCCAAAGGCAAGCTGGGAAAAA